AAAAAGCAGTAGCAGAAACAACAGCAGCAGCAGGAACAGTAACAGCAGCAGCATCAGCAGCAGCAGTAGCAGCAGGAAAAGTAACAGCAGCAGCAACTGGGTCTCCATCAGCCTCCTTACATCACAGTATATGTGTTCTAATACACTATGAATGATAAACAAGTGTTAATGCATGTAGACTTATCAAGGCTGTTAACATCTGTGCCAAATATATCTTGCATAAGACATTCCTATGGGGAAACCCAGACAAATGTATCATAATGAAGCTGGATTTTACCTTTTTTATGAATACTCCAAAAACATCAAAATTCTTGACAAAACACTAAAACAGATAATTAATAAACATCCAGATGTATCAGAGTTTGATGTGTCACTGCTGTATGATAGCATCAAAAGCGCCTGTAAAAAGGAACCTCCATTAAGTGATCAAAAATGGTATATTGAAAATGAGGAAATTGAGTACTACATTACTTCAATACTGAACATGAGGAATAATGTTCTTCATGGTCAGCTTGCAGTTACTGATGAAAATTATAAAGAAAGCTTAAACAATCATCGGGAGTTGTCAACTAGGTGTCTTAAGATATGTGGAAAGAAATATGGGAGAGACGAGGCTGAAGTTACCAAGGAGGTCAAACAGATGAATGATATCCTGGAAGAAATCACGACTGAAATTCTTTTAGAGGATGACATACTGTTGTATTGTAGTGATATGTGAAGCGTCGTATGATTAATGACAGTCGTGCCAAACTTATGGAGATCTTCCAAAGTATCAGCTATGTCAACCCAGTGTCTTGTATCACCAGTGACCTGAAACTTAAAGAAGACGAAATCTTTTGTTGATATTGAGGTCACACATGGACAACATGGAGGTCAAGGTAAACATATAAGTTATCAACACCTTCTTAAACTTGTTCAGACTACAGCACCACCATCATTTACAAGAACTGTCTCACAACAAAAAGGTATACCAACTCACCCACATATAATATTGGTTGAAGGTGTGGCTGGCAGTGGCAAGACTACTCTAGTGAAGTTAGTAATAGAGGAATGGACTCAGGGAGGTCAAGGCAATATTAGTGACTTAGATAATTACGAGCTTCTACTGTGGGTACAGTGCCGGGACCCAACAATGACCTGCTACCAGCAACTCCTGGACAGACTGATGCCAGAAATAGACATAAAATTGAAGGAAATTCATCAAAGTTGATGAAGCTTTGCAAGATCTTATTATAATTGACGGCCTTGATGAAGACAATGAAAGTTCGAGAACACTAGTTCAGAGTCTACTGCAAGAATTTAAGTACTGTTCTAATATTGCTTTTCTGTGCACTTCCGACCAGAAAAAGTGAGAACTTTAGGAGAACAATCCCTGCAAGATACTGTGACACATGTAACACTTCATGGTATATCTAAGGAAAATTTAGTACAATTTGTGCGTCTGAACCACCCGGAGATAACCAAACAAACAGGGAATAACAGAAATACTGAAGAATTAGAAAAGGTGATAAATTTAAGACTTCATGAACACTTAAGATTACCAATGAATTGATTCTCATGATATACATCTGGGACCACGACCCTGACCAGCTAAACTTAACATCTGTCACTCACACCAAGCTATATTATAATATTCATGAACTGTGTAAACACAAGTTAATACACAGACTGACCAACCATCAAGATACAGAGACTAGGATGACAAGGATTTAACTGACAATGTAAATATAATGTTGATGAATATATACAAGACAGCATTGGAAACTCTTTCACGTGATCAGTTAGACCTTGAAGTAAACACTTCAGAAAATCTTAAAAGAAAATGTAAACAATTGTGTTTACCTTATAAAGAAGTGTTGTCAGCGTTCCTTTGTTTAAGACCAACATGGACGATGCTGGGGATCAAGGAGCGGTACTCAGCTCCTCACAAGGGAATACAAGACTACTTCGCTGCTCTCTATATTGTCAACAATCTCATTAACCCACAGTATTCTACACCTACATCAGCCTCAGGTACATCAGCCACGTTTCTCAGTATTTGGAGAGAGTGGAAACAGTACATCAAAGCAGCAATATCACCTTCACCTGTCAGTATCAGGGGAGTGTTAGAAGAAAGCATCAGGTCAGGTGTGGTAGACATGAACAAGTACCAGAATGTTCTGATACATGTGGCTGGACTGCTGTACCTGGTACTAGACCAGGTACCTGAGACACTTGCACGGGAAGTGGTTCATCTCCTACAAGAGTCTGGTATGAGAACCCACAAACAGTGGCTCAACCTCCTTGACATCACTAACATATGTCCAGTAATTGTCAAAGAAGTATCTCAGTTTTTCAATACTAAAGAAATCATTTACATAAGTAGTATACATAGTGAAAAGATATTCTGCTCTCCTGCCACACCTCAGCTCCTGCGAGGTGGAGATTACTATCTCGTGTGACCCAAGTGACCTGCCTGAGCTGCCTGACCTGCTGGCTGCCCTCACCCACCACCACTGTACAAAACTGGCACTGCGGCACCACTACTATCATGCTGACACAACTACCTTTTCTGACAACCTACTACAACTTGTACAATCTCGGTGAGTTGTTGTTAATGTTAATAATGTTACTGAATACGATAATGTTATCTTTGTTATTACATTATAGGTGTTAATATTGTTGCTGGTGTTAACATCATTGTTGGTTTTAATATTGTTATTGGTATTGACATCGTTGTTGGTGTTAACATTGATGTTAACATTGTTGTTGTTGTTAACATTATTATTGATGTTAACATTGTTGCTGATGTTAGCATCATTGTTGGTTTTAATATTGTTATTGGTATTGACATCGTGTCGGTGTTAACATTGATGTTAACATTGTTGTTAACACTGTTGTTAACATTGTTGTTGGTGTTAACGTTGTTGTTGGTGTTAACATTGTTGTTAGTGGTAATATTGTTGGTGGTGTTAGCATTGTTTTTTTTGTTAATACTGTTGTTGCTAACATTGTTGTTGGTATTAACATTTTTGTAATGTTAATATTGTTGTTGGTAGTAACATTTGTTATGTTATACAGTGTTGTAATGTTAAGACTGTTGTTGGTGTTAATTTATTGTTATTGTTAAAAATCGTTGTTGGTGTTAACATCGTTGTTGGTGTTAACATTGCTGACGGTGTTAGCATTGTTGCTGTTAATACTGTTGTTGTTAGCATTGTTGTTATTAATACTGTTGTTAACTATTGTGTTAGTGTTAACATTGTCGTTGGTGTTAACATTGGTGTTGGTGTTAACATTGTTGTAATGTTAACATTGTTTGTTGGTGTTAACATTGTTGTTGGTGTTAACATTGTCGTTGGTGTTTAACATTGGTGTTGGTGTTAACATTGTTGTAATGTTAACATTGTTGTTTGGTGTTAACATTGTCGCTGGTGTTAACATTGTTGTAATGTTAACATTGTTGTTGGTGTTAACATTATCGTTGGTGTTAACATTGTTGTAATGATAACATAGTTGTTTGCGTTAACATTGCTATAATACTACATTGTTGCTGGTGTTTACAATTGTTGTTAGTGTTAACACTGTTGTAATGGTAACATTGTTGCGATGTTAAATTTGTTGGTGGTGTTAACACTGTTGTATGTTAACATTATTGTTGGTGTTAAACAGCCAGAGGGTATTGAAGACAAGGGACCTTGAAGACAGCTAGGGGGTCTTGAAAATAACAGGGGATTTCAAGACAGCTAGGACTCTTCAATAATGCTATATGTCTTCAAGACGGCCAGTGGTCTTGAACACAGCTCAGGGTCTTGAGGACAACTATGGTCTTGAACACAAATAGGGGTTTTCATGACAGTGATGGGCCTTCAACACAGCTAGGGGTCCTTAAAGACAGAAGTCTTGAAGACAGCCAGTGTTCTTCTAGGCTGCCAGGGATCTTGAAGACAGCCTCTGCTTTTCAAAATAACAAGGGTTCTTTAAGTTGACTGTGGTCTTTAAGACAGTCAAAGGTCTTGAAGACTGCCAGATGTCTTGAAGGCAGCTGAGACTCTTGAAGGCAGCCTTGGCTTTTCAAAATAACTACGAATGTTTAAGTTAACTGGGGACTTTTAAGGCAGGGTCTTGAAGATAGACAGGGTGCTGAAAACAGCACAGGTCTTGAAGATGGACAGGGGTGCTGAAAACAGCACAGGGTCTTGAAGATGGACAGGGGTGCTGAAAACAGCACAGGGTCTTAAAGATGGACAGGGGTCCTGAAAACAGCACAGGGTCTTGAAGATGGACAGGGTGCTGAAAACAGCACAGGGTCTTAAAGATGGACAGGGGTCCTGAAAACAGCACAGGGTCTTGAAGATGGACAGGGGTGCTGAAAACAGCACAGGGTCTTGAAGATAGACAGGGTGCTGAAACAGCACAGGGTCTTAAAGATGGACAGGGTCCTGAAAACAGCACAGGGTCTTGAAGAGAACTATGGATCTTGAACGCAGCTAGATGTTTTTCAAGACAGCCAGGAGTCTTCAAGGCAGTGAGGAGTCTTGAAGATACCTAGGATCTTAAAGACAGTTTGGGGTCTTGAACACAGATAAGGTCTTGAATACAGACTCAGCTTTTGAAAACAATTTGGGGTCTTGAAATTAACATGGGTGTTTAAGACAGGGGTCTTTGAAAATAAACAAAAGATCTTGAAGAAAACCAGGAGTTTTGAAGACCGCCAAGAATCTTGAACACTGCCTTGGGTTTTGAAAACAACTAGAGGTCTTGAAGTTAGCAGGGGTCTTGTAGCAAAACGGGTCTTGAAGGGAAGTTTGTCTTGAAGACAGCCATGGGTCTTGAAGACACAGAGGGGTCTGAAGACACTTAGGGATTTTAAGAACAGCCATTAGTCTTATAGACAGTCAGGGATCTTGAAAGCAACAGATGTTTTGAAGACAGCTTGTGGTCTTAAAGACAGCCAGAGGTCATGAAGAATGCCAAGGAACTTGAAGACAGCTAAAGATCTTGAAGACAGGTCTTAAAGACAACCAGGGGTCTAGAAGTCAGTCAGGGGTCTTGAAGAAAGCAATGGGGGCCTTGAGGAGAGCTTAGAGTCTTGAGAACAGCCAGGGGCCGTGAAGACAGATAGGGGTCGTGAAGATAACCAGGGATCTTGAAGACAGCTAAGGGCCTTGACATAGAACTTGAAGACAACTAGAGTCTTGAAGACAGCCAGTGATCTTGAATACAGAGAGGTGTCTTCTAGACAGCTATGGGTTTTTGAGAGAGAGAGGAGTCTTGAAAATAGCCAGGAGTGGAAATATAAACACCCTATGCAGTTTAATGTGATCCTTTATTGACAAACGTTTCGCCCACACAGTGGGCTTTTTCAAGTCATAAACAGATCTATTTGTGACTTGAAAAAAGCCCACTGTGTAGGAGAAACGTTGTCAATAAAGGATCACATTAAACTGCATATGTGTTTATATTTCCATTGTGTCGGTATTTTAAACCATTTATTTTCAACAGCCAGAGTCTTGAAGACAGCCAGGAGTCTTGAAGACAGCCAGGAGTCTTGAAGACAGCCAGATGTCATGAAGATAACCAGTGATTTTAATGACAGCCAGGGGACTTGAAGACAGCCAGGGGTCATGAAGACATCCAGAGGTCTTGAAGAAAGCCAGGGATCTAGAAGATAGCCAAGGTCTACTGGTAATCCCCCTTATGTGTGCTGGGAGGTAGTTGAACAGTCTTGGGCCCTTGACACTTATTGTGATGTCTCATAGTATTTTTGTGGCACTCATGTTGTGCATTGTGGGAATGTTGCACCACCTGCCCAGGCTTGTGTTGTTCATTGGGGGAATGTTGCACCACCTGCCCAGGCTTGTGTTGTTCATTGTGGGAATGTTGCACCACCTGCCCAGGCTTGTGTTGTTCATTGTGGGAATGTTGCACCACCTGCCCAGGCTTGTGTTGTTCATTGTGGAAATGTTGCACCAGCTGCACAGTCTTGTGGTGTTCATTGTGGGAATGTTCAACACCTGCACAGTCTTGTGCTGTTTATTGTGGGAATGTTGCGCCACCTGCACAGTCTTGTGCTGTTTATTGTGGGAATGTTGCGCCACCTGCACAGTCTTGTGCTGTTTATTGTGGGAATGTTGCACCACCTGCACAGTCTTGTGCTGTTTTTGGGGGAATGTTGCACCACCTGCACAGCCCTTGTGTTGTTTATTGTGGGAATGTTGCACCACCTGCACAGTCTTGTGCTGTTTATTGTGGGAATGTTGCACCACCTGCACAGTCTTGTGTTGTTTATTGTGGAATGTTGCACCACCTGCACAGTCTTGTGCTGTTTATTGTGGGAATGTTGCACCACCTGCACAGTCTTGTGTTGTTTATTGTGGGAATGTTGCACCACCTGCACAGTCTTGTGTTGTTTATTGTGGGAATGTTGCGCCACCTGCACAGTCTTGTGTTGTTCATTGTAGTGATGTTGCGCCACCTGCACAGTCTTGTGTTGTTCATTGTAGTGATGTTGCGCCACCTGCACAGTCTTGTGTTGTTCATTGTAGTGATGTTGCGCCACCTGCACAGTCTTTTGCTGTTTATTGTGGGAATGTTGCACCACCTGCACAGTCTTGTTTTGTTCATGTAGTGATGTTGCACCACCTGCACAGTCTTGTGATGATCATTGTGGGAAATGTTGCGCCACCTGCACAGTACCACTACTATCTTCCAGGTGTAAATTATTATGTATCTTTCTGTGGTGAAGCTGAGTCTTTCATATTATACCTATGTAAGATCACTTATATTATACCAATGTAAGATCACTTATATTATACCCATGTAAGATCACTTATATTATACCCATGTAAGATCACTTATATTATACCCATATAAGATCACTTATACCCATGTAAGATCACTTATATTATACCCATGTAAGATCACTTATATTATACCCACATAAGATCACTTATACCCATGTAAGATCACTTATATTATACCCATGTAAGATCACTTATATTATACCCACATAAGATTACTTATATTATACCCATGTAAGATCACTTATACCCATGTAAGATCACTTATATTATACCCATGTAAGATCACTTATATTATACCCATGTAAGATCACTTATATTATACCCACATAAGATCACTTATACCCATGTAAGATCACTTATACCCATGTAAGATCACTTATATTATACCCATGTAAGATCACTTATATTATACCCATGTAAGATCACTTATATTATACCCATGTAAGATCACTTATATTATACCCATGTAAGATCACTTATATTATACCCATGTAAGATCACTTATATTATACCCATGTAAGATCACTTATATTATACCCATGTAAGATCACTTATATTATACCCATGTAAGATCACTTATATTATACCCATGTAAGATCACTTATATTATACCCATGTAAGATCACTTATATTATACCCATGTAAGATCACTAACATTTATGTAAACATTTATTGAGTTGTATATATTATGTAACATTGTTCACTACCACTTGGTGTAATATAGTGTAACATTTTTCACTACCACTTGGTGTAATATAGTGTAACATTTTTCACTACCACTTGGTGTAATATAGAGT